CCCTGAATTCATATTCTCAAATAAACTACAAGCATGTAAGCCTTCATCTTGGGCTCTGCTTTCAGGGGAACCCTGGGCACTAAAACTGGCTCTAGAAAGGAAACCTTCAATATGGGATTTTGGATCCTACAACACTGATCACAAGACAGTAAGGACCCCTGCCGGTAGTAAGTGGTTGGTGGTAAATCGCAAGTGGTGATAATCCCTGGCATATCGTAACGTCACAATTACCAAGACTCTCAACTCTAATAGATTAGAATGAGGGGCAGACAGAAGATGAAGCATTGCATTACGTGGTACATATGGTACTTCAGCATTATGGCAGCAATAATAATTATAAGATGGGCTGATGTCTGCTAACTGCTTTGGAGGTCTTAACAAAAGAAAATGACAGGCTGTGTTCAGTCAATCATGGCACATTGTGAAAGCTATAAGGCCTCTAGGGCTGTGTAGCCACAGAGCAGACTGTGCTAAAAAATCAGCTCCAACATATAATCATAAGGGTGGCAGAGCTACAAAGAAGTCTGAATCCACAGCCTTGAAACATCACCCATGTCAAAGCCAGGTCCCTAATAGGAAAATAATGGGACCTTGAGATCCAGAATGGGGACATTTGTGTAGACATGCCTTATACTCCTATGCCTTCAGATTTTTTGTTATCCTCTGTGCCAACAGTCTCTTTCCTCCTGATAAAGGAAAGCAACCTCTCCTTATCCAGAAATTCTGCAAAAAATATATCTGAGGCAAGCGCCTCCTAATTTAATCTTATTTCCCTCAATACCCACCCCTATTACTCTCATTACCTCAAGCCTATAACCACAGTCAGATCTCAGCACAACCTATGTGGGGGATTGCAATCCTTGCCCTAAGGTTAATTAGACCAGGATTTCTCAATCTCAGCACTTGTGATATTTGGGCTGGATAATTCCTTGTTGTGGAGGGCTGTCCTTTGTATTGTAGGTTGTTTATAGCATCCCTGGCATCTACCACTACATTCTAGTAGAACCCCTCTGACAATGACGACCAAAAGTGTCTCCAGCCATTACTAAATGTCCCTTACGTGTCAAAATCACCCCTGGTATGGGCTACTGAACGAGACTAACTGATAAGGAATTTCAAGACTGCTACAACATACCAATATGAACCAGGGGAATATCTGTGAGAGTGAATATTTAGAGTGTTAAGCCAGAGGGATCAGGTTATAAGGCTGTCCAGGGGAGGATTTATATCCTGGGGCCATTCGCCTGTGATTCTGGATTTAATGTTTTGGCAACGACATCTAGAGTCAGTTCTAATACAAAACCTTGATATCTACTTAAAGTTTGGATATGATGATGGCCTGTGCTAAATGAAGTGTTAGAATAATTCTGAATGAGTATTGAAAAAGGAATCAGAAGACAGAAACAGGAATATTAGAATGAATTTATCGAGGCACCTGGGTGGCTCAGTCAATTAAGCATCTGCCTTCATCTCAGGTCATGAGGCCAGGGTCCTGGGATCAAGCCCCTCATCGGGCTCCCTGCCCCGCAGTGAGTCTGTTTCTCCCTCTCCTTCTGTGCCTCCAGCTGCTTGTGTGCTCTCTTTCTCTCAAATAAATAAATAAAATCTTAAAAAAAAAAAAGAATGAATTTATCATGTGAAACTAAAGAACCACCACTACAATGTGTTTCTCAGAAGTCAGGATGTTGGAATGAACTTGTGAAACCAAGTACCCATCACTTGGATATGCTCCCACAAGGGTTCTAATGCAAGTTATTTAACACTCAGGTCATTTGTTTGAGCAGATCTAATGGTGCTAGAGGGATCTATGATAGATAAAAATCACTTTGACATTTCTGGAAAGCTCCCAGTAAGAGAGTTGCAGTACAGGTCCCTCATGTTCTGCAAGGCCATGCCTTCTGAGGCAGAGAACTAGTCACTGGGAAAACTAGAGCTATTTATCATGGGCTGCATAGGATCAGATCCATCAAGTCATAAGCACACAGATACAGCAGGAATGTATGAAGTATGGAAATGGTATAGGATTGAGGCTGAGCACATCCAGCAGACACAAGTAAACTTGTGGGTGAATCCAATTCCTGGCACTTATTCTACAGCATGGACATCTGTTCATCAACTCATTCCTACGGCCTTTTGCGAGGTCCCCATGACCACCTAACACAGAGTGAAAAATTTAAACCTGGTTCACAGATGAGTTGACATATTAGGTTGGTAGGCAGGCAAAACTGGACCGCTGTTGCACTATAGCTCCACACAGGGATGGATCTAAAGAACAAAGGTGAAGGGGAATCTTCCCAGCTGGCAGAGCTTGGAGGAGTATTCTTCCTAGATTGCTTTATAGAGAGAGAGAAGTGGCCTGAAAAAAAATCTTTACAGATGTCTGGGTTTTTCTGTCTTGCCTGCAGTGACTCTGCAAACATCCATGATCACCAGAAGTATAACATTCATGATCAACATTATCTCAACCAAGGAATCTATTTCACAGCCAAAAACCAAACCAACCACAAAGTGACAATTATACACATCACCATGGAATCCACTGATATTGAAATATTCCTCATCACGCAGAAGCAGCCAGGCTCATAAAAATAGTGGAGTGGCTTGCTACAAACCCAGTTAACAGAGTAGCTTGCTACAAACCCAGTTAATGTGCCTGCTTGGGATTGAGGTGTTGTCCTACAAGATGTGGTAAATGCTCAAAACCAACCAATAAAGAGTATCCCTGAACGGTTAAAGACATGGCTCCAGAAACCCAGGAACTGGAGAAGGATTGGCCCAACTTTTCAGTGACTCACTTACAGATTTATGTTTCCTGACTCTCAAATTTGGGGTTTGCTAGATAATAATAATTAGTTCTCCAGGGGTTGGGTGGAGGGATATTTCCACCAGAATACACAGCATGGAATTCAGTGAACTTGAAACTCTATTACTTGGTCACCTTGGGCTTCGTTCTTGCCTTTAGTGGGCAGTTTTGAGACATCTCATGAAAAAACTTCTCAGAAGGTCTTACGAGATCAAGAAAGCATTCAAATGTGGTGATGACCAACGAAATAAAACATCATTATATTGCCTCTCCCACTTCCTTATTTTACTTTTCCTCCCCCTTCTCTTACTCTTGCTCCCTGGGGTCAAAGTCCCAAATAAACTACTGTACATAAGACTTTGTTTCAGCCTCTACTCTGGGGAAACCCAAGAGGGGAGAGGCGAGAGAAGAATTTAATTTTGGACCTATAAGGTTGAGATGCCTGACAAGACATGCAAGTGGAAATGTTGGGGAGGCGCTCTATACACAAATCTGGAGTTTAAGGAAGAAGTTCAGACTTCTGAAATGCTGTTCACTTCACAGCTTTAAAGAGGGCCACAAACATAACAGTTGCTAAGAAGAAAAAAAGAGCATAATAGGACAAAATAGCACATGCAATTGTCACATAAATAGTGTCGACAGTAAGAGTTCTAGTACTGAGCACAAAGGGCCAAATGGGTCTTTTTAAAGATAGGACTAGATACAGATCCTGCTCTTAGAAGGAAGATCATTTAATGAAGTTGAAAAGCATTCCGAATAGCATTAACTAGAGCATATTAATCTCGGTAGCAAATAGGTCCTTATTAACTCTGATTTTTTTCCAACAAATTATATATTCAGATAAACACTGAAATACTTTACAGAGCTTATTTTTCTCTTCCATCCCTGACAAAATGAGTCACTTCTTCTTTTGCAGTCCCGTGGTAGTCTCTTTTTGTCTACCTTTGTTGTTGGGATATACCTCACCAAACTATAATTTATCCCTGTATTTCATTCTCTTTCCCCAATGAGAGTGTGCCCTCTTCTGAATGGGATCCCTGCCTTTGTATCTCCAGCACCTGACACAATGCCTAGTATAGAGGTGGCACCGTTTGTCAAATAAATGAATGCACACTTGAATGGATCCCTGCAGAACGTCTGCAAAGGGCTGTGTTGAGCAGGAGCAAAGAAGTCACACCTTTGAATTACATCTCTTTGGTCCCTTATTTTGTATCTTATTTTATATGTATTTGTACCTACCAACCTGCGAACTTGTCAGGGTAAGATTTGTGTCTGAATCACCTCTGCACTTGGGTGAAGGTACCTGGCATAAAACCAGCGACAAGAATATGGAATATGAATTATTTGTTTTGCAACCAGCAACCTCGGCATCATCTGTGCTTCTCAAACTTAAATGTGCGTAGGCGTCATTTTGTTAAGATGCAGATTCGGATTCAATAGATCTGAAGTGAGCCAGAGAGTCTGCAGTATCTAAAAAGCACCCCCTGATGCCCAGCATCTGGTCTGAAGACCACACTTTGACTGTCAAGGTCACTACATCAACGGTTCTCAACCTGAGCTGCATTTTAGGATCTTCTCGGAAGATATTGAGAGTACTGAAGTCTGAGTCCCGCCCCTCAGAAATTCTGATTTAAGTCATTTAAACTCCCCATGCTAGAGGTAGCAAGGACCTAGGGTTAACAGACCTTTACATACACAAGAAAAGAAAACACTTAATCGGATATCTTCTTTTTTTTTTAAGATTTATTTTATTTTATTCATTTGAGAGAGAGAGATACAGAGAGACATAACATGAGCAGGGGGAGAGGCAGGAGAGGGAGAAGCAGGCTCCTCGCTGAGCCAAAAGCCCAATGTGGGGCTCGATCCCAGAACCTAGGATAATGACCTAAGCGGAAGGCAGATGTTTTACCGTCTGAGCCGCCCTGGTGCCGAAATCGGAGAGCTTCTTAAGTGAAATTGCAGAAAATATCTCAATAAATGACTCTTCTAAAGAAAGTAATAGCACGCAACACCAAAACCCGGGTGCCAAGTCAGTCTCCGAGCGACAGAGGCCCCGCCTCTGCCTATCCTTGACACGCCCCTCCAGCGAGACCTAGCCCGCTTCGCCACGCCCATCACCTCCTCTCCTTCCTTTTCTACCGGGTCGAGTTCCGGCGTGGAGTTTGTCACGTGCCCGGAAATGGGAAGTGGTAGCTGAACGGCTCAATTGAGCTCATCCTAGTAGCCGTGGCCGTTCGGGCCTTGTCCGGTCTCTGTCTTCGAGTACCCGCCTCGGCACAGCCGGGCTCGGTCCGGCCTTGTGGTAAGCCTTGGGCCGTGGCTGCCCAGTAGTTCCGGCGGCGGTGGACAGATTAGCAGACAGGCGGGCGCCAGGGTGAAGGGGAATCTTCCCAGCTTCCCACTTGGCTGCTGGCTCCGCGTCCGGGGTCGGGTACCTGTCTCTCCGCCGCCTGGCCTCCCTTCCTTTCCCCCCCTGTCTGGGTAAGGCGCAGAGGACGCTGGGAGCGTCCACCAATTCCTCGTTGTTCTAGGGGCTGGGAGACCAATTCTGACGCGTCCCTTCCTGGTTTCACCCGTAAGAACCAGATTTCATTTGTGCAAAACGGCCCTGGTCATTTGCTCTTTGGCGTGGACCAGGAGAGGAGGGCGTGACAGTGCCTTCTTCTTTGTCCAAATCCACATTTTCTTCTAGATCTCTGAAGCGCATTCCCCTGTCTCTGTGCACAGTTTTCTCTTGTGGATGATAATGCTCCACTTGCTGAGTTGCCTCGATAGCCTATAGGGCCCAACCCACGTGGACTCTCACAATGACAAGCTCTTTGTCACGCAGTGTAATGGTCCAACTGAGTTTAAGGTAACAAGAACCAGTACAGAAAACAGTGGCTGACTACTTCTGGAACGTGGTCAGACATGGATTCTTAAACCTGGAAAATAGTTTTAAAGGATCTCTAGTGATTTATTCACTGACTTACACAAAAGTAAAGACTCAACTCTTAGAATGTAAACGCCACTGAGGCACGATGTTCTTGTCTTCCTGAACATGCCTGTCATATTCACCTCTAACGTAGAATAGTGCATGGCACTTAGTAGGCATCAGTATTTGGTGAATGAATAAGGGTCACATAGTGCTTTCCATTATGCCTAACTCCTTTATGAGGTATAACCAGTCCTCTCTTGCTTTACACTTCCCATACACTCATTGTTGCTTTCGACCAAAGAGGGACTGTGTGGTAAAGGTTGGCCACTGTTCTTCATTTGACCAGTTTTTACTATTCAGTTCAGGTTATCTCAAGAGGTATTTGCTGAGTACCTGCTAAGAAAGAACACAGAACTATGCTGGAGCATCTTTTCCTCTCTCTCTCTCTCTTTCAGGGGAGTTTTTGAGGTCTACAAGCTTATGATAACCAATTGGACAGCAAGTGCTTGATTATGTGGGAAATACAAAAAGTGCTCTAGCAATTGAGAGGAGAGATCAGTTTGGATTAAGATCATTATTGAATCAATTCTCATAAACAGTGAAGTGTAATTAGGGTTTGGATAGATGATATTCCCTGCATGGAAAAGCAACTAAGCAAAGATGCAAAGACTGCACCTAGAAGAGGGCTTGGACTGGAAGATCTGTATTTGGGAAACTTAGGAAAATGTTGAGCAGGGGCATGTGGTGATGAAAGCTATGTTTTAATATTATTTGTTTACCCAGGGTTTGGGGATTGTGGAAACTTAAAAAGAGATAACCAGATACTGAAGTGTTAAATGGATATAGTTGATGTGAACCTGGATTAGTGTGTTAGCAGTGGGGACAGAAAGGAAGGGTAAATTATATGTAGATGAAGGGAAATCAGAAGAATGTGGCAGCAGATTTCATGTTGACAATGGAGGAGGAGAATCAAATATGACAGATTTTGAACCCAGACATTTGCTTACAGATGTGAGAGTTGGAAAGGGGAATCAGGGAAACTATAGTTGTCATATCATTTGGTGCTATCATTTTGCTTAATTTTGAAATGCCTGCTATGTCTTTGCCGAGTTCTAGGAATACAAAGATGAAGAAGGTATGGTCCTTTCCTACAAAGAGCTACTTTTAATCGGAGAGAGACTACAACTAGCTAGAAAATAGGGTTTGTAAGTGCTATGTTAGCAGAGTAGAGGGAATGTTTGAGAAGTATAAAAGAATTATTCTTTGTGTGTGTGTGACTACTTCACAGAAGAGGTGACATTTTAGCAGGATCCTGAAGAATGAGTTGGAATTTCCTAGGGGGAAAAGAATTAAAGGAAAAGGAAATTGCATGAACGAAGCCCAGAGATAGAGAGGTAAAGTGGCCATTATCCAGTGTAGCTTGATCATAGGGTGGAGTAGAGCTTTTAAATCAGTGTCTAGGCCCTAGAACATACTAAGTGATTAGTAACATGGGCACAAAATTTTGCAATAGGTGGAATGGACATTAGGATGGGTGAAGATGTAAAGAGATGGAGAAGAAAGCAGTTGGAGAAAATTGTACTCCATGGCTTCTAAATCTTCTGCCGCATAGATGGTGACATCATTTGCTGACACTAGCGTTGGGGATTGAAGAAGATAAATAAGATTTGCAACACACTGTTGGGGAGTAGGACGAGGAGTCATCAAAGGAAATGTTAAAGGGTTACTGAGCAACAGTGAAAGTCTAGCTTTGAACAGATTTAGCTATTTGTAATGAATGCAGTGAACATAGATACATGGCCTTCTTAAGTGGTATATGGTAGCCCATAAGAAGTGGAGAAAAATACCGTTCATGGAGATTGATAAAAGATTGATAAAACATGGTGAACAAGTCTACAAACCGTAAGGTAATTGAAGGAGAGTGTAGGTGAACGCTGCCTCCAGGCTAGGTTGGAAAAGAAATTAAGCTTGGAGAAGCCAGATAGATGATGAGAACAGGAAGGAGGGGGAGGTCAGAAGACTAGAGGCTAAGATGAGGTGGAAAAGGAATAGAAGTGGGAAGATGTGATTTTTTGTGAGGAAAGCAATTTTTTGACTTGGAGCAGAGATCAAAATTTCACAGATTGAGTAAAATATAGGAGATCCCTGGTTTCCAAAAGTGTCATTGTATTATAAAAATTTATTCTATGTCATTTATTTAAAATTCATAATCTCTTAATTTTCCCATAGGAAGAGTGTTAGAAGTTAATTTCCTAAGCAAGTTCACATGTATGAAATACCACACATTTGCATTGGAAAATAGTAATATACATACATACAAATATATATATTTAAAAATAAAATTGAAAAGAGATTTTAAAAAGTATTTAACTTAAGTTGGTATTTGAAAAAAGACATTGAATTTAGTGAGAAAAATGAGATAAGTGGAAACCTCTTTATAATAGCTTTATTGAGATATAATTCATATACTATAAAATTTACCCTCTCAAGTGTATAATTCAGTAGTCTTTAGTATATTCACAAGGTTATACAGCCATCACTACTATCTAATTCAAGGGCATTTTCATCACCCCAAAAGAAACCCCATACCCATTAACAGTCCTTCTTGCCCCTAGCCCCTGGCAGCCACAAATCATTTTGTCTTTATGCATTTGTCTACTCTGGACCTTTCATGTAAGCAGAATCATAAAATATGTGGTCTTTTAACTGGCTTCTTTCACTTAGCATAATGTTTTCAAGTTTCATCAATGTTGTAGCATATATCAGTACTTCGTTCCTTTTTTTATGGCCAAATAATATTCCACAGTATAGATGTACTTTGTTTCATTCTATCAGTTCATTAATTGGTGGATATTTGAGTTGTTTCTGTTTTTTTGGCTATCGTCAATAATGCTGCTATGAACATTTATGTACCAAGTTTTTGTGTGGACATATATTTTCAGTTCTCTTGAGTATATATCTAGGAATGGAATTGGTGGGTCGTATGGTAATTTCATATTTAACTTTTTTAGGAACTGTCAAACTTTTTCCAAAGTAGCTGCACCATTTTACAATCACCAACAATGTATGAAAGAGTTCTTTTTCTCCACATCTTTACCAACGCTTGTCTTTTTAATGTTAGCCATTCTAGTGAGTGTAAAGTGATAGCACATTTGGTTTTGGTTTGCATTTCCCTAGTGGTTAATGATGTTGAGCATCTTTTCGTGTGCTTATTGGCCATTTGTATATTTTCTTTGGAGAAATGTCTATTCAGATCCTTTGCTCAGTTTTTAATTGTGTTATTTGTTTTTTTATTGTTGAGTTGTAAGAGCTCCTTATATAGGAAATTTATATTTAAAGATTGAGCATGGGTTTTATTTTTTTTCTTAAAATTTTTTTCGTATCATAATATTTGGTAAGCACTTCCAGATATTTTAGAGTTTAATAACGTTCATTCTCTAATTTTTTTCCAGTCATATGACTTTTTATTTTTATGATGTTGGTATGTTGATATATGAAATCATTCTTCCTATACTTATTAGCCATTCTTCCTATACTTATTAGATAATTTTTTAAATCATAAATGGAACAATATGAGATAGAATGATTTTGAGAAAGAGCTTAATATCTATACTCTCCATTTTTTTCAGCTGATTAAAAATGACAGCAATCAAGCATGCGTTACAAAGAGACATTTTTACACCAAATGATGAACGCCTGCTGAGTATTGTCAACGTCTGCAAAGCAGGAAAAAAGAAAAAGAACTGTTTTTTGTGTGCCACAGGTGGGTATTTAGTAAGAAAAAGCTCTTGTTTGGCATTCTTTTATTGTTTTATTCCCCAGGGGACTTTTCCCCCTTGTTTTTAATATCCTCATTGTCTTGGGATGCCTGAGTGGCTCAGTCAGTTAAGCATCTGCCTTCTGCTTAGGTCGTGATCCCAGGGTCGTGGGACTGGGTCCCATATCGGGCTCCTTGCTCAGCAGGGAGCCTGCTTCTCCCTCTACCTGTCACTCCCCCTGCTTGTGCTCTCTCTCTCTCTCTGACAAAATATATAAATAAAATCTTTATATATTCTCATTGTCTTTATAATTGGAAAAACTCTTGGGCCAACAAATTCATTTTTAAAGTTGTCTTTAATTATATATTGAGTAGATACAACAGAATCTATAGTATATATAAGGTTCAAAGACTAACCATACAGGAACACTCATGTGCTTACCACCCAGTGTAAGAATATTACCATTACCTTTGAAGTGTCCTGTGTATCCTTCCCTAATCCCATTCCCTTCCCTCATTCATTAGGAGGTAACTAGTATCCTGAATTTTGGTTCGGTCTTTCCTTGCTTTTCTTTATCATTTTGCTATATATGTTTGTAATCTCAAATAACTTATTATGTAGTTTTGCATGTCTTTGAAATTTACACTAATTGAATCATAGTGCATATATCCTTTTGTGACTTTTTCCATTCAACATGTTCATGTTCATGAGTTTTCTCTTTTTTCGTATAACCGTAATTCTTTTGTTTTCACTCCTATGGAGTGTTCTACTCTATGAGAGTACCAGTTTACTTACGCATCCTACCAGTGATGAACATTAGGTTTGTTTTCCAGTTTTAATGTTCAGACAGCACTTCTGTGAACATGTTTGTCCTTGTGTCCTCGTGTATACAGGCAAGAATTTTCTACGGTAGATACTAAATGTAAAATTGCTGGGTCATAGGCATGTAAATGCTCAACACTAATACCAAATTATTTTCAAAAGTAGTTACACTGGTTTTCAATTCCACAAGCAGTGTGTGTTTGGAGTTCTTTCTCTACATCCTACTTAAAACTTGGTTTTGACACTTGGTTTTGACAGACTTAATTGATTCCAACGTGGTGGAAATAGTACATAAAATAGTATCTCTATGTGGTTTTAAATTTCACTTCCCTGTTGATGAAATTAAGCATCTTTTCATGAGTTTATTGGCCATTGAGTTTCCTTGTCTTAGAAATTTGCCTTAAAACCTTTTGCTCATTTCTCTGTTGTGTTGGTTGTCCTTTTACTGATTTGTACAAGTTCTATATATTTACTAATCCTGTGTTGGTTATATGCATCCCAGTTTGTGGCTTGTGTAGTAGCTTTTTGATACTTTTTTTTTTTAAATATTTTATTTATTTATCTGACAGAGAGAGACACAGTGAGAGAGGGAACATAAGCAGGGGGAGTGGGAGAGGGAGAAGCAGGCTTCCCGCTGAGCAGGGAGCCCGATGTGGGCTCAGTCCCAGGACCCCGGCATCATGACCTGAGCTGAAGGCAGACGCTTAACGATTAAGTCACCCAGGCACCCCAGCTTTTGATACTTTTTAATGAAATTTCTAATTCTAATGAAATCACATTAATCAATCTGATCCTTTATGGCTTCCACTTTTTTCTCTTATTTAAGATACACTTCCCTAGAAGGGCGCCTCTCGGTTGGTTGAACGTTCAACTCTTGATCTCAGCTCAGGTCTTGATCTCAGGGTTGTGAGTCCAAGCCCCACATTGGGCTCAATGCTGGGTGTGGAGCCTACTTAAAAAAAAAAAAAAAAAAGATATACTTTCCTGAAGTAACAAAAGTATTCTCCTATACTATGTTCTAAAAGTTTTATAATTTTGCCATTCACATTCTAGTATTTAACTTACCTGTTTCCATGTTTGTAGTGATGAATGTGAATGTACCTCTTTCTGGTCTCTCCTATATCTGGTTTTTATTTTGTCTTGTTTTGGTTCTTTATTCTTCTACCTAAATTTTAGAATCCACTTGGCAAGTGCCAGATTTTGTTGGGATTTTAATTGGAATTGTTTTGAATATGTAGTTCAGTTCAAAGAGAACTTGCATTTTCATGATACTGAGTCTTCTTGTCCATGGACATGGTGTAGTTCTCCATTTACCTAGGTCTTCTTTAATGCCTTTCAGTAAGTTTTACAGTTTTAAAGGCTTTCATAAGTTATATAGTTTTAAAGGTTTTGCCCATATGTTGTATTTATTCCTAGATTTTTGATACTATCATAAATAATAACTTATTAGCACTAATACATTTTTAAGACTTTAATTTTTTTAAGATTTATTTATTTATTTATTTATTTGTCAGAGAGAGAGAGAGAGCACAAGCAGGGGGAGTGGCAGGCAGAGCAGGCAGAGGGAGAAGCAGGCTCCCAGCTGAGGAAGGAGCCTGATGTGGGTTTCGATCCCGGGACCCTGAGATGCTTAACCAACCGAGCCACCCAGGTGTCCAAGACTTTAATTTTTTAGAGCAGTTTAAGGTTTACAACAAAATTGAGGAAGGAGGTACACAGATTTCCCATATATCCCCTGCCCCCACATATGTGTAGTCTTCCCTTTTATCAGTACCACTGGCAACAGTGGCAACAGTTTGTTACCAAGAACGAACCTACATTGACACACTGCAATCATCCAAAGTCCATAGTTTACCTTAGGGTTTACTCTTGGTGTTGTACATTTGTATGGGTTTCGACAAATGTATAATGAAATATATCTACCATTGTAGTAGGAAAATACTCTGTAGGAAAATACAGAGTATTTTCACTGCCTTAAAAATCCTGCATGTTCTGCCTATTCATCTCTCCCCCAAACCCTGCCCTTTTCAACCACAGTTCTTTTTACTGTTTGCATGGTTTAGCCTTTTCCAGGATGTCATATAGTTGAAATCATAAAGTATGTAGCCTGCTCAGCTTGGCTTCTTTCACTTAGTAATATACATTTACGTGTCCTCCGTGCCTTTTCATGGCTTGATAGCTCATTTCTTTTTAGCACTGAATAATATTCCATGCCTAGATGTACCACAGTTTATCCACTCACCTACTGAAGGACATCTCAGTTTTCAATTTGAAAATTATGAATAAAGGTACTATAAACACCCATGTGTGAATTTTTGCATGGACATAAGTTTGCACCTCCTTTGGGTAAATACCAAGGAATGTGATTGCTGGATCATATGGTAAGAGTGTCTTTGGTTTTGTAAGAAACCACCAAACTTTCTACCAAAGTGGCTGTATCATTTTGCAATCCCACCAGCAATGTTTGAGAGTTCCTGTTGCTACACATTTTTGCCAGCATTTGGTGTTGTCATGTTCTGGAATTTGGCCAAACTAATAGGTGTATAGTGGTATCCCATTGTTGTTTTAATTTGCATTGCCTTGATGAAATAGGGTGTTGAGTATCTGTTCATATGCTTATTTGGTATCTATGTATCTTCTTTGGGGAAGCATCTGTTAATGTCTTTGGCCATTTTTTAATCAGGTTTTTTGTTTTCTTGATGAGATTTAAGAGTCCTTTGTATAGGGGCACCTGGGTGACGCAGTCAGTTAAGTGTCCAACTCGGTTTTAGCTCAGGTTGCAATCTTAGGGTTGTGAGATGGAGCCGACGTCAGCTCAGCTCGCACTCAGCAGAGTCTGCTGAAGACTCTCTCTTCTTCTGCCCCTCCCCTACCATGTGCACAGGGGCTCTCTTGCAAATAAATGAATCTTAAAAAAAAAAAAAAGAGTCCTTTGTATATTTCGCATAACATTCCTTCATTAGATGTGTCTTTGGCAAGTATTTTCTTGCAGGCTGGCGTATCTTCTCATTCTCTCTTTTTTTTTTTTTTAAGATTTTATTTATTTATTTGAGAGAGAGAGAATGAGAGATAGAGAGCATGAGAGGGAAGAGGGTCAGAGGGAGAAGCAGACTCCCGATGCGGGACTCAATCCCGGGACTCCAGGATCATGACCTGAGCCGAAGGCAGTCGCTTAACCAACTGAGCCACCCAGGCGCCCTCTTCTCATTCTCTTGATGTTGTCTTTTGCAGAGCAGGAGCTTTTTAATTTTATTGAACATTAATACATTTTAAAAATCATTAATTGTCAGAATCTAGAAATACAGTTGGTTTTTATGTGGATTTCTGTATCAATCTTGCTAGACTTTCTTATTAATTCTAATAATTTGTCCATAGGCTCTTTCTAAATAGTGATATTTTCTTCCTTCCTTTATAATCTTTATATTTTTTATTTATTTTTGTTGCTTTAGTCTGCTGGTTAGGACCATCAGTACAGTGTTGATCTCAAAGGGAATGGCTTTTTAGTATGATAATTGCTATTGTTTTTTTGTTTACAATGTAAAGGAAGCTCTCTTCTGTTCCTCACTTTTTTTTTTTTACGATTTTATTTATTTATTTGACAGAGAAAGAGATAGTGAGAGCAGGAACACAAGCAGGGGGAGTGGGAGAGGGAGAAGCAGGCTTCCCGCAGAGCAGGGACCCCGATGTGGGACTCGATCCCAGGACCCTGGGATCATGACCTGAGCCGAAGGCAGATGCTTAACGACTGAGCCACCCAGGCACCCTGTTCCTGACTTTTTACTTTTTTTTTCTTTTTGGTTTTTTATCACTGAATGGATGTTCAGTTTTATCAAATGCTTTTTCAAATCATTGAGATTATCATATATTTCCTTAATTTATTAGCGTGGTGAGTAATTGTATTTGGCTTTTCAAATGATAAATTGAGTTCTTGGGATAACCTAATTCAATCATGATGTACCATATACCATCAATTATACCATATATTATTTTATGTACCATTTAAAAAAATGCTATGATACTGCATCAATTGTTAAGACATATTCTGATTTCAGAGATGTTAAAATGTGGGGAAAAAAATGTACATCTCAGAACTGGTGAAATGAAATACTATCTTTTGTATATGGCCTTGGATTAAGTTTGCCATTGCAGTATTTGTTTGTAGTTATTTGTATATTTGTAGTTATAAGATTTTTCACTCATGTTCATTAATGACATGGTCCTATAATTTTCTTTTGTACACTATCTTTGTCCTTACAACCAAAGCAATAAAGTAAGTTGGGAGTGTTCCCTTGTTTTCTGTACAGTGGAATAGTTATGTATGTTTGGAATGTTTCCTTGAAAACTTGGCAAAAGATACCAGTAAAACTGTGTTGGACTAGGTTTTGGGGAAGAGATTTTTCACTTACTATGCAATTTCTTTTTTTTTTTTAAAGACTTTATTTATTTGAGAGAGAGAATGAGATAGAGAGAGAGAGCATGAGAGGGGGTAGGGTCAAAGGGAGAAGCAGACTCCCTGCTGAGCAGGGAGCCCGACGCGGGACTCGATCCCGGGACTCCAGGATCATGACCTGAGCTGAAGGCAGTCGCTTAACCAACTGAGCCACCCAGGCGCCCCACTAATGCAATTTCTTTAATGCTTATAGAATTTTCCGTATTTTCTGTTCTTAAGTCAGTTTTGGTAAGTTACATTTTTTAGAGATTCAACCACTTCATCTAAATTTTTAAATGTACTGATGTTCACTCCAATCCATCCACTATTCTGCTGACAGAGTGATTTTTGGAAACAAATTAGAGCATGTCATTTCCCTAATTAAAATCCTCTAAGAGCACCTCCACAACCTCAAAGGCCCTTTGTGATCTGAACTTTCATCTTTTTTTGTGACTTCATTTCCATCCACTTTATTGCAAGAACAATCCATACTGAACCACTTAGTGTGGTTCTGAAATGGTGTTGGGCTCTTTCAAGCCCCTTTGTCTTCACATATGTCAGTCATTCTTTAGAGCTCATACTATTCTTTCAAAACTGGTCTGCAGCTTTACTTCACAAGGAACCTGCCTCTGACGCTGTTGTCTGACTTAGATGTTCCCTTTGATGCTCTGAGCATTCCTCAGTCATGGCAGATATTAGGAAATACTACTTCTGTTTTAGTGTCATGTACACGCACCTGACAGCTGTATTTGCAATGAGTGGATGAATGGATGAAGAATAAGTGAGTGAATATTTCTGATGAAAGTGTGTTTTACTCAACAGTGACAACTGAACGCCCTGTGCAGGTGAAGATGGTCAAAGTCAAGAAATCTGATAAAGGAGATTTCTACAAAAGGCAGATTGCTTGGGCCCTTCGAGACCTTGCTGTGGTAGATGCCAAGGATGCTATTAAAGTATGTTTTTCTTAGTCCTTTGACCGACGTTCAGAAAGTGTCTTTCATTTTCTAATGTAGTAGTATATCTTCTAAGATGATCTAAACTTCTTGTTTTGTAACCGTCTCCTCTACCAGCTCACCAAGATTTAGTCTAGAGTGTATTATTAAACCTTCCATTCTCCCACTCTTCAGTCTCAAGCTACTAAATAAATCTGTATGCATGTTGGTTCATTGTTTTTGCTGTTTTTGAGCTATAGTTATGTTTGTGGACAAGTTATGTACACTGGAGCAAAATAACTATATATTTTGGTATTTAGGTTAGGTATATTTAGTATAAAATCCATGTATTAGTACACATTTTAAAGTGTTGTGAGTAGTTTTTTAAAAGCCTTCATTGTTTTGGTAAAACCTAGTTCAACATCATGTGTGACACTATAACCAAAGGGAGTCTTCCTTAGTTCATCTTCATGAATTAATGTAGAATCATCAGCTGAGGCAACCAGGCTAGCCTTTTGAGGCCATGGTTTCATATTTGTGGCTCAAGTAAAGGAAGTGATGGTGAGTTACACACCTTATTTTCCGGAACTTAAAGAATAAGATATAAGAATGTAAATACTACACTTTTCACCGAAGCCACAAACTTTAAGAAAATTGAATAATGTAATAATCATGTTAAAGGACCACGTTTATTTCTGACAAGTCAAAGCTTTTCACAGCAATACCCTTTTTTCAAAAAAATTAAGTAGAGCTCCTCTGGTGAAATTAAGTCCTCCTTCCCCCTCAGCCTCTCTAACCCTGCCCTGCATCTTCCTTCCTCAGGAATGTTTTGCATCACACCCACTTGTGATGGGGCTGATAGCAAGGCTTACATTAATGTAACTGCAGGTGCCCTTTGACTTAACCCTTCAAGTCTCACACATATACTTAAAAGGCACAAAGAAATAGAAGCTACCTTTGTAGAACAATCCAGTAAAATAAAATTCTGACTTTACCATGGTACAGACCTCTGGGGAACTAAAGGCTAGACAAATTGACAGGCAGTTGACTGGAGTGTAAAATATTTTTTAAATGAAGCAAAAACAACTTTAGGAGAGCTTTGCTTGTCTAGAATATGCAGTTCAGGACTCAGATTTCTAACAAGTGTGGCGAATGCCTTTCTATATATTTTTTTATTTATTTATTTGACAAAGAAAGACACAGCGAGAGAGGGAACACAAGCAGGGGGAGCGGGAGAGGGAGAAGCAGCCTTCCCGTGGAGCAAGGAGCCCGATGCGGGGCTCCATCCCAGGACCCTGGGATCATGACCTGAGCCGAAGGCAGACGCTTAACGACTGAGCCACCCAGGCGCCCCTTTCTTTAAGTATTTTAGTCACACTGGGCCGCCGCTGCTTTATCCCTAAGGGGCACCCAAAACACTTTAATAATAATTATTTAATAAATTCTGTTACCATGGGAAAAGATCAAGAGTAGAGACTTTTTTGGTAGGTTTCTGTTTTGGGTTTTTTGTTTTGTTTTGTTTTTTAATTTTATTTTATTATGTTAATCACCAACATTACATCATTAGTTTTTGATGTAGGGTTCCATGATTCATTGTTTGCATATAACACCCAGTGCTCCATTCAATACATGCCCTCTTTAATATCCATCATCAGGCTAACCCATCCCCGCACCCCCCTCCCCTCTGGAACCCTCAGTATGTTTCTCAGAGTCCATAGTCTCTCATGGTTCATCTCCCCCTCCGATTTCCCCCCTTCATTTTTCCCTTCCTACTTTTTTTTTTTTTTAACATATAATGTATTATTTGTTTCAGAAGTACAGGTCTGTGATTCATCAGTCTTACAGAATTCACAGCGCTCACCATAGCACATACCCTCCCCAATGTCCATCACCCAGCCACCCCATCCCTCCCACCCCCCACCACTCCAGCAACCCTTAGTTTGTTTCCTGAGATTAAGAATTCCTCACATCAGTGAGATCATATGATACATGTCTTTCTCTGATTGACTTATTTCGCTTAGCATAATACCCTCTAGTTCCATCCAGGTTGTTGCAAATGGCAAGATTTTTTTTTTATGGCTGCATAATATTCCATTGTGTATACATACCACATCTTCTTTATCGATTTCATCTGTTGATGAACATCTTGGCTCTTTCCATAGTTTGGCTATTATGGACATTGCTGCTATAAACATTAGGGTGCATGTACCCCTTTGGATCCCTTCATTTGTATCTTTGGGGTAAATACCCAGTAGTGCAATTGCTGGATTGTATGGTAGCTCTATTTTCAACTTTTTGAGGAACCTCCATACTGTTTTCTGGAGTGGCTGCACCAGCTTGCATTCCCACCAACAGTTTAGGAGGGTTCCACTTTCTCTGCATCCCCGCCAACATCTGTCATTTCCTGACTTGTTAATTTTAGCCATTCTGACTGGTGTGAGGTGGTATCTCATTGAGATTTTGATTTTGGATTTCCTGGGATGCCGAGCGATGTTGAGTACTTTTTCATCTGTCTGTTGGCCATTTGGATATCTTCTTTGGAAAAATGTCTGTTCATCTCTTCTGCCCATTTCTTGATTGGATTATTTGTTCTTTGGGTGTTGAGTTCTTCATAGATTTTGGATACTAGCCCTTTATCTAATATATATTTACAAATATCTTCTCCCGTTCTGTCGGTTGTTTTTTGGTTTTGTGGACTGTTTCCTTTGCTGTGCAAAAGCTTTTTATCTTGATGAAGCCCCAATAGTTCATTTTTGCCCTTGCTTCCTTTGCCTTTGGCGATGTTTCTAGGAAGAAGTTGATGCAGCTGAGGTCGAAGAGGTTGCTGCCTGTGTTCTCTAGGATTTTGATGGACTCCTGTCTGACATTGAGGTCTTTCAACCATTTTGAGTCTATTTTTGTGTGTGACGTAAGGAAATGATCCAGTTTCATTTTTCTGCATGTGGCTGTCCAATTTTCCCAACACCATTTGTTGAGGAGACTGTCTTTTTTCCATTGGACATTCTTTCCTGCTTTGTCGAAGATTACTTGACCATAGAGTTGAGGGTCCATTTCTGGGCTCTCTATTCTGTTCCATTGGTCTATGTGTCTGTTTTTGTGCCAATACCGTACTGTCTTGATGATGACAGCTTTGTAATAGAGCTTGAAGTCCAGAATTGTGATGCCACCAGCTTTGCTTTTCTTTTTCAACATTCCTCTGGCTATTCAGGGTCTTTTTTGGTTTCATACAAATTTTAGGATTATTTGTTCCATTTCTTTGAAAATAGTTGTTGGTATTTTGATAGAGATTGCATTAAATGTGTAGATTGCTCTAGGTAGCATTGACATTTCACAATATTTGTTCTTCCAGTCCATGACCATGGAACATTTTTCCATTTCTTTGTGTCTTCCTCAATTTCTGTCATGAGTGTTCTATAGTTTTCTGAGTACAGATCCTTTGCCTCTTTGGTTGATTTATTCCTAGGTATCTTAAGGTTTTGGATGCATTTGTAAATGGGATCGACTCCTTAATTTCTCTTTCTTCTGCCTTGTTGTTGGTGTGTAGAAATGCAACTGATTTCTGTGCATTGATTTTATATCCTGCCGCTTTACTGAATTCCTGTATGAGTTCTAGCAGTTTTGGGGTGGAGTCTTTTGTATGTAAAGTATCATATCATATGCAAAAAGTGAGGGTTTCACTTCTTTGCCGATTTGGATGCCTTTTATTTCTTTTTGTTGTCTGATTGCTGTGGCTAGGACTTCTAGTAGTATGTTGAATAGCAGTGGTGTTAGTGGACACCCCTGCTGTGTTGTGACCTTAGGGGGAAAAGCTCTCAGTGTTTCCCCATTGAGGATGATATTCGCTGTGAGCTTTTCCCAGATGGCTTTTATGATATTGAGGTATGTACCCTCTATCCCTACACTCTGAAGAGTTTTAATCAAGAAGGGATGCTGTACTTTGTCAAATGCTTTT